CGGAGCTAAGGGACGAAAAAACAACAAATCCCATTTCGTTGAGATCCGTAGGTACAAAAAGGTTCGCCAAAGATTTTTTTATTGTTTCTACACCATAACCATATGTACAGACCGAACGAAACAAAATCTGGAAGATTGATGTTGATGTACAAATCATACGTACCCTGCGATGCGATGAATTTACCCGGCTCTTTGTATCCCTAGAAATAAATCAAAACAACTAAATGTCGATAGTTGGGCCCTGAGTATTCAAGTGTAACTGAGAATGTTATTCAGTCGACGAGCTTAGCGAAAACTATTTTCAAAGTACAAAGCTCTTCAGGTCCATTTTCGATATAAATACAATGCACAGCGCAACAGAATGAACATACGTCCATGAAAGATGCATTAACGTAGGTGGATCCGGGAACGCCATCAATAGGTGCCAGCTTCACAAGGCCATTGTCATCTGTTATGAAAAGGATTGAAAAACAGATTTGTTAAATATTGTCATTGCAATTCACGAGTTTGGTATTGAGAAATGCTTCAAAGATGGCTGAGTGAAAGGTGGACTAACACATACATGCAATGATGTTCCTGAACTTGTTCTTTGGGGCATGTTCCTCGTCGTAATACGCCTCAGCATGTTCTTTCCCCAGGACTTTAGGTAGTGCCTGGAACGAATAAGTAATGGCATTGTTTTTATTCTTGGTAATAAATGCACCAATGAAAGATCCTAACGATTCAAGCCGGAAAATTGGATATAACATTAACAACAGTCAAGACAGGAGACAACTAAAAATAACTCTCGGTTTCTTACAGCATATTCTTCATTAAACAACTGGTCGTCATTGGCATGCCTCCGGGCAAACTCACTCTCCAGACTGGCGATGGGGATCGGTTGGCGGAAGTCAATGGGGACTGGTGAAGCTTTAGCGCCGCGGCCACTGCCTGTAAGTACATGTGTATTAGATTTCAATATATTTGTTAGTCCGTCTCTGAATAAAATCATCTAGTATGAAACAGCGATTATCAGCAATATCATTACATAATTCAATCACAGGTATGGCCATCTACCTGACACCTTACAAGTGGCGAGGATGAAAATAAAGAAGATTGACTTCTAATGGTACTCACCCGTTCTTGAATGTCTTGGCCGTTTGGGTCTTAGTGGAGTTTTTGGTTTCACGACCGGGGATGCCTCAGGCCCAATAGCTCCAAGTGGGGTATCGTCGTCTTTATAATTTTGTCTCTTAGGAACGGGTGGGCGCAGAGGAGCATCCTCCTTGCTAGGTAGGCGTCTCCTTTTATGGATACAAAATATATTGGCGAACAGAAAGCAAGAAGAAATAGTCCTGAGATAGAGTCAGGTTTGATGGTCAATAACTTTCATTCTGCTTTTTTTTTCCTTTTTATTTTTGCTGGAGCGCTTTCGCCATTCAATGTTGCCATGTTCCTTGCCATTTGTGATAAAGAATTTTTTTTTTACAATGCTACCAATATGCGAATCCTTCACTATTATATAGGAATTCGAAAAAATAAGCAGGATGTCACAATGAAAGCTTCACGTTCCTGCAAAGAAGTCTGTTAAGCCATTTTAATCTACAATATAATAATGATATAATATAGACTAATCTATAGTACACACAGCAGCACTCAATGTCTCCCTGAAAACATTCATACCTTCAGATAATGTTATATGGCTAACACATACCTGTATACGAAAAACCCTGCTGCTGCTACCACGCCTACAAACACAAGAGCTCCAATGGTTCCTCCAATTGCCGCTCCGAGTGGTGAATTAGATGCTGTCGAATACAGTATTGCATTTCAATAGAACTTGTTCAGTCAGCATCGGATATGAACCTAATCAATGAACCTAGAGGTATACATATCACGTTTGGGAAAGATAAAGGTACGATTGTGAGTTGTATTGTTAAGTTTATAAACAGATAGCAGTTAACGTTTACCACGACTGATACTAAACTCACGTGCATTCCCTGTTAGTGTTCTCCCCTTTGCTTCAGCGGAATCACTCCATCCCTGTGAGTTTCTCACCCTGAACTTTACCGAGTAGTTTGTTGCAGACGACAGGCCTGTCAGCTCGTGGGTTCCTTCTGTACCAGTAGATCCTGTGGTTACCCATGGACCCCACGACGTCTCGTCACTGCGTTTGTGAGTCACTTCTGACGCGTTAATGTCGAGGTTCCCGGTAAACCCTACTGTCCATGCGACTTGCAGTGTTGTGGAGCTAGGGGAAGTTAGACGAACTGTAACATCTTCTGGCCGCTCTGTGAGAAATTAAAAAAATGGGTTGCATTTTCATTCCTTATTGTTTGTTTGTCATGAAATCATTACCACAATTCACTCAATTTACCTCTCTAAGCGTTCTGGTCCAATCACGAAAAGCTATCGATATTTTCATCAGTCACAACACAATATTAGTAAGCAAGAGTACGTACCTAGCACTGCTAAAGTTGCTTGTTGTGACATGTCTGAATTCGTGCCATTCATGGACCTGCAGTGGTACTGTCCATTGTCCTCCCGCTTTACTGTGTTGATGGTCAGGGTACTACTGACTGTGTGTGTGGTGGAGTTCTGTGCGGTATTTATTTTGATTTGATCTCCATTTGAAACCAGGTCACCATCATGATACCAAGTCAGGGTTGGGAGAGGATCGCCAAGACTGACACATGTGAAGGTGGCCGGATGGTTGAGAGGTAGGCTCAGGTCGTCAGGATGTTCTGTTACCTCGGCAAGAACTGGAATGCAACAAACGAAAGACAACTAACTTAAAATATATCTCTACTCCAATATTATCATGGATCTATGTTGGTATCTGTTTTGGTAGTAACCATAGCGCAATGTTAACGACGAGTACACTGTCCCCTTCATCAGAAAGATCAATATATTAATGACCAATCACTTCCGAACGTAAACTTGCAAGAGTTAGAGACACGTGTCCTTATTCACACAAGACGTTTGATCAGTTGCTAACGTCAGGAATCCGTGAAGTCTTGTGTTGATAATATCACCTGTCTGTAACTGTAAGTCTCGAACGTAAGTTCGGAAGTGATTGGTCATTAATTTATTCTGATGAAGGTAGCAGTGGTCGTTGACCCTTGTGTACCCTGTGTACTAAAATAAATTAAAATATCGAGAACTTCTACTCTAGGATTCTAAAGAAAGTGCAACATTCATTAGATTCATAGTGTACATGTATGCTTTTAAAAAGGGCAAGTATTGGCAAATTTATGAATGCGATTTACTTACAATATCTTCTGTTAAAATCGAGTTCATGACTTACTTTCTTTGCACATATCCAAGCCCCATGGCGGCTGACACCCGGACTCACAGATGCCAGTAGCAGCATTACAAGTACTGCCTGTTGTACACCATCCACAATTATCCTCGCAGTCGTATCCGTATGTACCAGCATTGCAGCCTGGAGACAGGTAGATGTCATTTTCACGATACCGAAATGTAATGATTAACATATTATATGGATGGGATAAATACGTGTATGGTGAAGAAAAATTGTTAGTTACTTTGCGGATTTCAAGACCACTGAAACCAACTCCATCAACATAGCAAAACAAAAAAAATGTCTCAAAAGTGAACATCATAAGATCTTTGCTTCGTCAAAAATAGTTTATAACTATACGATTCCTTTCTATCTTCTTTGTATCAGTATATATACACATCTGAATGAGGAACATTTCGTTCTAGCATTAAACACATCAAATGAGTCCACTGACCCTGATCACAGTTCTCCCCATGGTATCCAGCTGCACACAGGTGTTCCTGACCAGTCGGACATGTTCCGTCAAACCTGTCACAGGTCTGACCCAGGTAACAGTAACCACACATGGTGATGCAGTCGGGCCCGTAAGAACCGTCACATGCTGTCGAATAAGAAGAGATTATTCAAAGTTACTCAACCGCGACGGGGGCCGACATCGTTTACCAGATACCTTTCACCCAGATACCTTTGACCCAGTGGCTTTTGTGACTTCACAAAAGCCACGTGACAAGTCTCACTGGGTCAATCTACTGAGGAAGACCAGAGTGACTGGTCGAAAGCTCTAGGCGAGGGAACTTTATTGCGTTGGATCCAAAGTTTTAACTTTAAACTTTTAACTACCAACACAGATGAACTTTCATGATATTATTCAAAGTTGTATAGATGTAATGTTTGACGAGTTTTTCGACTCCCATACGAATTCATCCTGATAGTTTCAAGATCAATTTGTCATAGTGTCATTGAATACAAGATGTTGCGATGACAATTCATGGTCATCTTTATTTAGGAATGTCAACTAGCTAGGATCATTGTGTTAGCATGGGATAAACAGGAAGTGATTGCCGTTGGCAGTTTGTGGATTTTTTTATATTTCGTGAAAAATATCAATTTGCTTGTCGTATACAATGATGTGTTTATTGCAAATTCTTGCTCGAAGTCTAATTGCAAGTAACAGAAAAAAAACAAAAGAAAATTAAGAGTAATATGGCATGTGACTACTATGCTATATAATTTCTCTCTAAAATGTTGACTTGCTGGGTTCGTCTTCTTTTCTGAAACACGATACATATCAATTCTTTGATATAGAAACCAGCTGAATGAATTTTCTCACCCATCTGACAGCTATCCCCTTTCCAACCGGTTGCACACCCTCCAGTAGAGCATACTCCGTTGGTTTTGTTGCACACGTCACCCCCATTCGCACAGTGACAGGTGTCGGTACAACCGGGCCCGAACTCTCCAGCATCGCAGACTGAAATATTATAAAAACACAAAATTGAATATCTTATTATCGAAAACATTATGAGATTGAAAGATTTATGATAACAGATTAATTATATCATCAAAGAATAAACAGGAATGTTACCACTATACGCATGAAATACGATGTTACCTGTCTGACAATTGCTTCCCTTCCAACCGGCCGCGCAGCGAAGTCGACTTGAAAAATTTCTGTTTACAAACGGGGCCGCAAAGCGACTTGGCACTCCCGCTGTGCCACCCTCCCCCAAAGTCGACTCGGTGGCTCAGTCTTGCCTGACTACTACGCAGAGACGCTCAAGTCGACTTCGCTCGTTTACACACGCGAAGCTAGCGGACTCATCCCCCGCTGGCCGACTTAAGTCTTGTTTGGATACGACTCAAGTCGTCTTTATTAGAATGCGACTCAAGCTGAATTATTTCTCTTTACACAGGGAAATTTTCGCTCAAGTCAACTAGCTCAAGTCGTCTTGAGTTCTAGTTGACTTGAAAAAGCTATGTGTAAAGCAGGCCAATATGTGGGTCCTTGGAATCGGGAAAGATGCACAGGAACAGTGGCCAGCGGACGGGAAGATAGAGGAGTGACCGTCATGCTTTTAGATGTATATGTTATACAGGAATGTGTTACTCTCGACTGTGTAAGTTTTGACAGGCTATATGATAATAGCGTTAATGGCCCGCCCTTTCTCGGTGAATATGGTGTGATAAAGCCTAGTCAGTTGCTATAACCACCTCATAAAGCCACCTCGTTCGCTGCGCTCACTCGATGGCTTCATTCGGTTATTGCAACTGACAAGGCTTTATCACACCATATTCACCTCGGGGCGGGTCATTGACCCTTAATTAAAGCCCTGATAGTACATATGATCTCACCTGTTTGACAGTCGTTTCCTTTCCAGCCGGCAGCACAGCCTCCAGTACAGGCTCCAGTCTGAATGCTACAGGCGGAATCTCCGGTCAGACAGTGACAGGTACTGGTACAGCCGGGGCCGAACTCTCCTGACTCACACACTACATGAAAATTGTCAAAAGTACTAAAATAAAAATCATCTTAAACCATAAATAAGAACAACTTTGCTCCCTTTTTTTAAGTTTGCCCCAAACAACGTTTATGCGCGAGATGACACAACCACAAAACACAAGAAACGCATACGCTACTGTCACCCCTTTGAGATACTGCTAAATTTTTTCTAATCTTCAATGTATGTCTCATATGTATATTCACTTACGATATCACTTGTCCACTTGTACTAGTAAAAATTTGCAAAAAAACTATTGTTATTATTGAATTGGAGATATCGAAGTGGTGTTGACTAACTGTCACCCAACAAGAATAAAGTGACATATAGAGAGAATAATTTTATTTTACCTTTAGATAATAAATGTTGGGTACATTACCTGTCCCACAGTCGTCTCCTTTCCAGCCGGCAGCACAGCCTCCAGTACAGACTCCAGTCTGGATGTTACAGGCGGAATCTCCGGTCAGACAGTGACAGGTACCGGTACAGTCTGGTCCGAATGTACCACCCGAGCATGCTGGAGTTGGAGATGGAATCTTTAATCGTGTTTCAGATCACCGGCAAGCTAATTGAACTTCGGTGGTAAAACGTCTATTCTACTTTTGCTGTCAGCAGATTAATTAACATGTCTTCTAGCCGTCCATACCTGTCTGACAAGCGGAACTGACCCCCTCCCACCCTGCAGCACACCCTCCACTGGTACAGACTCCGGTGTCGGCGGGACAAACTGAATCTCCGGCCGCACAGTGACAGGTGTGAGCACAGTCGGGGCCGAACTCACCGTGACTGCAGGCTAGAAGCAAACAAGAGATAATGTTAGGACTCGACTACTATCTCGTGCGTGCAGAAAGATTTTCTTACTGTTAATACTTAAGACTCACCTGTTTGACAGTCGCTTCCTTTCCACCCGGCAGCACAGCCTCCAGTACAGACTCCAGTCTGGATGTTACAGGCGTCATTTCCGTTCAGACAGTGACAGGTGCCGGTACAGTCTGGTCCAAATGTACCACCCGAGCATGCTGGAGTTGGAGATGGAACAAAGAGTTATATCTATTAATCACCATTGCACGTTTCGATAGATTGTCTACGTATTGTAACGCACCAGCAGTCTGTGTCTCAGGTTTGAGGAGTAATTAGAAGTGAACTGAATTTGAAATAGACCAATATGATTTTGCGTCCTACAGTATATGACCTGAGTCTCTATGTCCCTGCACTTTTTGTTGAGTCAATAAAGAATCATATCATGGTTCTATCTCTATATTCTATTATTAACAGCATAGCTTGGAAAATCGTTGATCTTTAATCGTGTTTCAGATCACCGGCAAGCTAATTGAACTTCGGTGGTAAAACGTCTATTCTACTTTTGCTGTCAGCAGATTAATTAACATGTCTTCTAGCCGTCCATACCTGTCTGACAAGCGGAACTGACCCCCTCCCACCCTGCAGCACACCCTCCACTGGTACAGACTCCGGTGTCGGCGGGACAAACTGAATCTCCGGCCGCACAGTGACAGGTGTTCGCACAGTCGGGGCCGAACTCACCGTGACTGCAGGCTAGAAGCAAACAAGAGATAATGTTAGGACTCGACTACTATCTCGTGCGTGCAGAAAGATTTTCTTACTGTTAATACTTAAGACTCACCTGTTTGACAGTCGCTTCCTTTCCACCCGGCAGCACAGCCTCCAGTACAGGCTCCAGTCTGGACGTTACAGGCGGAATCTCCGGTCAGACAGTGACAGGTACTGGTACAGCCGGGCCCGAACTCACCAAGGCTGCAGGCTGTGGTGATAAAAATGAAATGAAACCATCAAACATGAATAAACATCAATTTCAAAGCAAATGACATGTTCCTGTCATACCTGTCTGACAGCTGACTCCTTTCCACCCAGCCTCACACCCTCCACTGCTACAGACTCCAGTCGTGATGTTACAGACAGAACCTCCACTCTCACAGTGACAGTCACCGGTACAGCCGGGTCCAAACTCACCGGGGCTGCACTCTTTATTTAGAAAGAATAGTTGATTAGCATTATTTTAGTGTTTCTATCAAGTTTTATCTATTCTAATCATTTTGGCATTCTTCGAAGGCACATAGATTGCACTGCTACATGCATGGTAAGAAATGTTACACTTAGACATGTGTGATGCATATGAGAATCGAGACGAATTTCTATTCTCTGTGTCTAAAATTCTGTAGGTTTTTTCGTTGCCTGGTGCACTACATGTAGTTATAGATTTCCTTTCAATCTTGAAATGAATTTGTATGCAGACAAAGTTTATAACTAAATTCTTTGTACACATTAAATGTATCTTGACAATGAGCTTCATAAGTTAGCTTTACGAATGAAGCACAAAAACACTCACCTGTTTGACAGTCGTTTTCCTTCCAGCCAGCCTCACACCCTCCACTGCCACAGATTCCAGTTAAGACGTTACACACGTCATTTCCACTCGCACAGTGACAGGTACCGGTACAGCCGGGCCCGAACTCACCAGACCCACACACTACATGGAATCAAGTAAATGATTGTATCATCGATTCAAACTGTTTGATGATTTTCTTTTTATAAATTTCACTAGGAGCCCTCGATGTTGGCATCACTAAGATTGAGTGGTATTCAGGTAATTTATATTGAAAGGAAAAACTGGCAAGGATTAGGAATTGTGGCGCTTAGATTATCTAAAGGAATGACGGCCATGACTTCCTATGCACTGAACTGTAATAAACCATGAAGCAGATGTTTAGGTAGAAGTCAGGATTTAGAACCATAAGAAAAAGGTGATGGTGATTTATGTATACACACACACATATATATATATATATAGAGAGAGAGTTACTAAGAAAAAAATCGATATACTGTTGATACTGAATAAACAATGTACAGCACTTTAACAGTCGTATGTTTGTCACCAACAAAGCTAACAGAAAAATAACAGCCTTACATAATTTTCAACCTTACTTCAATACTTTGCCTTACATGTACTATTTAGGAATAATTACCTGTCTGACAGTCGTTTCCTTTCCAGCCAGCCGCACAGCCTCCGCTAGAGCAGACTCCAATCATGACGTCACAAACAGAACCTCCACTCGCACAGTGACAGGTACTGGTACAGTCCTGCCCAAATGTTCCAGCAGTACAAGCTGGAGTGGGATACAAAGAGTTACTTTCTAGTGACGATTGAACACTTTATATGCGTACTTTCCAGGAACCTGCATTGTTTGTCAGATGGCGCTCTCCACACATCTCTGATGTCATGTAGCGGTGCATAACGTGACTGTAACGTTGTTGAAGAGACGCAGGTTAAAAATATGTTAACGCTGATAGATATTTAGTTTTTTCCGTGCCATTAATTCTCGTATGTCCGTTATGGCAAATCACATTAATGTGAAATATAAACACACCTGTCTGACAACTGTCTCCCTCCCACCCGGCAGCACAACCTCCACTGGTACAGACTCCCGTCATGACGTCACACACAGAATCTCCACTCGCACAGTGACAGGTACCGGTACAGCCGGGTCCGAACTCTCCAGCAGTACAGGCTTAAGACAGAAATGTGGGCAATCATATTAACTGTTGTATCCAGATATAATCTATACTAGTCTGCGATGAAGACTAAAAGACAGTTCTTAGATGAAATGTTCATCATCAAATCGAAACTTAAACCATCTTTACTGTGCGTTGACATTACTATCAAAGCCTTATTTTTACCTTATGTCTTCTACATAGGAGGGTAGCTTTCTACCAAGCAAGAGTGCAAGAAATATAGAAAATATTGTCATCCTCCCCACGCTATGTATGAATGGAATGTCCCTTACGCTGATCACAGTACGTCCCTCCGAATCCTGCAGGACAGGTACAGGTGTAAACGCCACTTCCCGCCATGCCTGGCGTCAGGGTCCCTCCATTCTGACATGTGTTTAGGGAAGAGGCTGTGGAAAGAAGAATATCAACTGAGAGTGGGTCGTATTAAAATTGTAGCATCCAATATTTCTAAGAGTTTTCTCTAGGTCAGTTCTATCTTTTGTCTATAACTATTTATCATATTAGACAAAAATAGTTACACTTACGTGATGAAGTGCCCGGCCTGATCATCATAGTTGTTTTCCTCAATGAATAATCGTAAGTTTTCCAGGCTTTCCAGACGATACCGTCGGCACTACTGCAGGATGGAGGGGTTGTAGTGGAACACGTCGTTAAGTACCGTCCGTTCAACAAGGCCAGGCCACAACTTGTGGGATACCACCATCCGCCTTGTCCATAGTCAACTGCACAGCTACTGAAACCACCGTGGTTTGTTGTAGCAAACCCTCTACTGTTGATGCTGTGGCGTCCATTGTTACTAGTCGTAGTCAGGTCGTCATCTACATCGCTATCTGCTGACATGTACCCACTCAGTGTAGCTCGGTAGTCGCTGGTAGAAGCTCCCACGGAAAACGTGCTGTACCGTGCGTGGCGCGAGTTTCCCTCCCAGTCTTCCAAATACACGTACAGTTCGTTCTGTGTCGGTGTGGTGAGGGTGTGTAAGTGTTCAAGTCCTAACCAGAGTTCACCGCTAACGTCACCGAATCCCTGCACGTACTCGGCCCACGGTTTGTTGAATTGTACCGACCCGTCCTGGCGCCGCTGTATGACCGTCCACCCGCCGCCATCAGTGCCCATGTCACAGGACACTTGGAATGGCTGAGGGTGGCCGATATGATAAGTACCGCTGGTCTGGATTCCCATGGCCGACAGGTCAGCGCAGCTTTGTGGCGTAATAATGGTACCTGGGGAAGACGGAATATGAGATGTTAAGACAGTCACAGTACACGATAATCTATCGAAGATGCTGACTGTTTTCATGTGAAGACAACACAATGAATGCAACGAAACTAAGGTTCAAGATCAAAAGTGTGGAATCAAAGGAAAAAAATGAAAAAAAAATCATAATAGTCTGTTCAAACCCCATGTGATCTCCATTAAATTGTTTTGGTCACTGTTTGATGTGAAGAGTTACGTAGTTACCTGTGTACGTGTCACAAGTGTCTCCCTCCTTGCCTAATGTGTAGGACAACAGATAGAAAAACGGACGTTCTGGCAGTACCATGGTAAGCCACCAGGTCCAAATTTGACCTTGACCTTCGCCTTGCTACGACGTACCCACATACCAAATATCGGCACAATCATTAAGAGAGAGAGGGAGAGAGAGAGAGTAAACCATCTTTACTGTGCTTTGATATAACTATCAAATCCTTCTTTTTACCTCATGGCTTCTACATAGGAAAGTAGCTTTCTACCAGGCAAGAGTGCAAGAAAATTCAAAAATATTTCCTCCTCCCCACGCTATGTATGAATGGAATGTCCCTTACGCTGATCACAGTACGTCCCTCCGAATCCTGCAGGACAGGTACAGGTGTAAACGCCACTTCCCGCCATGCCTGGCGTCAGGGTCCCTCCATTCTGACATGTGTTTAGGGAAGAGGCTGTGGAAAGAAGAATATCAACTGAGAGTGGATCGTATTAAAATTGTAGCATCCAATGTTTCTAAAACTTTTCTCTGTGTGTTTCCTTTCATCAACAATGTATAACTATTTATGATATCCTTTTAGATAGGAATAATTAATTTGACACTCACGTGGTGAAGTGCCCGGTCTGATCATCATAGTTGTTTTCCTCAAAGAATAATCGTAAGTTTTCCAGGCTTTCCAGACGATACCGTCGGCACTACTGCAGGATGGGGGGGTTGTAGTGGAACACGTCGTTAAGTACTGTCCGTTCAACAAGGCCAGGCCACAACTTGTGGGATACCACCATCCGCCTTGTCCATAGTCAACTGCACAGTTACTGAAACCACCGTGGTTTGTTGTAGCAAACCCTCTCCCATTGATGCTGTGGCGTCCATTGTTACTAGTCGTAGTCAGGTCGTCATCTACATCGCTATCTGCTGACATGTACCCACTCAGTGTTGCTCGGTAGTCGCTGGTAGAAGCTCCCACAGAAAACGTGCTGTACCGTGCGTGGCGCGAGTTTCCCTCCCAGTCTTCCAAATACACGTAAAGTTCGTTCTGTGTCGGTGTGGTGAGGGTGTGTAAGTGTTCAAGTCCTAACCAGAGTTCGCCGTTTACGTTACCGAATCCCTGCACGTACTCGGTCCACAGTTTGTTAAACGCCACCGACCCGTCCTGGCGCCGCTGTATGACCGTCCACCCGCCGTCAGCAGTGTCCATGTCACAGGACACTTGGAATGGCTGAGGGTGGCCGACATAGTAACTACCGCTAGTCTGGATTCCAATAGCTGAGAGATCGGCGCAGTTTTGTGGGGTGATGATAGCTGGGAATACAAAACCATACGCATATTAATTTACTGTTTAGTATATACTTTGTTATCTAGATATTACCCTGTTGTTCTCATTCTTTTTGAATCTAATATACCTTTCATTTTTAACAATTGTTGAAAAGCTGGGAGTCAACAATTAAATGAAGAAACGACGTACAGCAAAGGTATTGTTGGACGTTTACTTCTGTCGCTTATCATAAGAGAAACTAGTTAGTATCTAATATCTACCCATCTCTCTCTCTCCCTCCCCCCTCCTCCTCTCTCTCTCTCTCTCTCTCTCTATATATATATATATATATATATATATATATATATATGTATATATATATATATATAGTCTCACCCATTGTCTGTAACCTTTATATGGAACATTTAGAACAGTTGGCTGTTAACGCTGCCCCCCCCCACTTTGGTGCTATCGTTATGTTGATGACACTCACACGAAGTTGAAAGAAGTACATGCACAGGAGTTTACAGACTTTCTAAACAGCTTAGACCCCGACATTAAGTTTACTACTGAGGAGGAACAGAACAGGTCTTTACCCTTTCTTGACACCTTTACAGTGATACAGGAAGATGGTTCTCTACGGATAAGGATCTACCGGAAACCCACACACACAGATCAATACCTACACTTTGATTCTAACCATCCACTTGACTACAAACTAGGGGTGATTAGGACTCTATTCCACAGAGCCAACACCATAGTGTCAGACCCACAGGATTTAGAGACCGAGAAGTCCCACCTGACCCAAGCATTGAAAACTTGTGGCTACCCCAAGGGGGCGACTTGCCCAGACCACCTAACACCAAACCCTCAGCAGGAACAAAGTCCGAGGGTTTGGTAGTCCTTCCGTACATCAAGGACTTGTCTGAAGCTCTCAGGAGGATTTTCATATCCCACGGGTTTGCAACCTGTTTCAAAGGAACTACTACTTTACGACACTTTACAATCTTAACCTTGTACAGAATGTGACGTGCACCCACCTGTTGAAACCACAGTGACTGTAAAAGCACAGAGGATTACAACAACGACGGCTGGTCCTGTAAGACACGGGCAAGGCTTGGTGCCAAGAATCCCGCAGAAACTTCCCATCTTGATGTAAGGTGATCACATAACACTTTCACTCTCGGTATGCTTCCTGTCTCAGTTAGTAAAACGCAGGAAAAATTATTTGTGCCCTGCCACTATTTTTTCGGCCCTAACTTCCTCCTGCGATCGGTCCAGTGCGCCTGTGCGGTGACACGGTGCAAATAATGACGACGCAACGTAAGTAAAACAAGTCCACAACAAATAGACTTAGACAAACACACCACCTCATACAATTCTTTTCCTAAATATACTTTCTATACTGGTTCTATACATGATTCTATACTGAAATTACTGGTACATGAATAGTATAGTGGGTGGGATCCTCAAGCTCGCCTATTGCCGTTACGCAAAGAAAAATGGACGAAAGGCAACTGACAGAGCAATGAAAATCAATGTGTGAATTTGACCCCACCCGTCCTATTCACCCCACATGAAAGGCACGGTTATCTATATCGATTATCGATATCGCCAATCTCATCAACTTGACAAAGCTTCTTTATCATTATTATTAGATTAAGTCTTACTAAGTCTTATTAGAAGGATGATAGATCCGTACACCTGCATAATTATAAAAAAAACAACAGTATTTCAGACAACAAATCAACAAATAATGATGGCAAAGAAGAGCTCCGCCATGTTAGAACCAAACAATTAGCACTGACAAAAACAATCACCAAAAGAACACAAGGGTCATTTAAGCTAGCTCTTAGCAAGTCCAATACAATGTGCTGCTAAAGACAAACAAATCGTATGTGCAAAGTTTAAGTGACTCAGCGGAATTATTTACGTATAGGAACCTTTTTGTCAAACGGATGTGCTACGTTTTTTTAGTGAAGGCCTTGGGCCTATATCTTTTTTGATAGGCTGATATCTCCACAATTGATGATTTCACTTTATAAAAAAACACTTTCTGTCGCTTTGCGTTTAATGCTAAGTAACGAACCCACGCAAAACGAGTACTTTCAACCCACTCGACAATCATTACGAGTACATCAAATACACCGCCATGTTTGCCTTGCCAATCAAAAACTGTAAAACTGTTCTATGGATCTGAAATTAAAGAATTGAAGTATTTAATTTGTGTGCAGAGGTAACAAGTTCAAATAATAGCCTTTCACCTTAAATCATTGTAATATATGAGTCCACACCTCGTCAGGTGTTTAATCTCTTGTCCTGTGTCATGTGAAGCATAGACGTAGAGCATGTCCTTTAACGACAATGTTGTTGACACTGTTGGTCTGATTACCTCCTTGAAACATGGAGGTATTGTTTATAGTTTATCTGTGTGTGTGGGGGGGGGGGGCTGCACATTTGTAGTCATTATAACTTCAGATGGCCTATATTGATTATGACGATGTTTGGTTACTCGTAGGAAGACAAAGGTTAAGGTCAAATACGGGCCTCCTGGTGGATGACCTTGGTACTGCAGCAGAACCTCCGGTTTTTCTGTCTTTTGTCCTGAACATGCTTTGGTGTTGACTTTTTGGTGACAGATAGCATATCCTGTCAGAAATAAGTGATGTGGGTTTTGTACCTCTAGCAGCAGTCTTTTAAAGCGGATATGTCTCGAAAGGAACAACGTATTTTCATCATTTTTGGTATGTAGGTAGCCTAGAGAGAGTACATGTACATGTTTAAAGTTCAATAATGCAAGTGATGAGTTGATTTGCATTTCTAAGGAGGAAATTCTGTAATAGTACATTCATTCATGTAATGTATGTAGTCCATGGCAGGTTGAACATCAACAGATACCCATAATGTGAATAATGACCTAATTTGCATAATTAATGTGTGGTTTCTTAATGGTCCGTTTTATACCGTGTGATGTGTAAGATTAATATCAATATGCATGTATCATTTTAATGTGGGAGGTCAGTTGCATAATTAATAAGGACATGTAGAAATGAAACGTTACCAAAGAATAGGAACTTTACAAGCAAAAGATTATAATTTGAGTTTAGGAAACCATCAAGTTAATCAGATTGTGGTAATTACGCCCTTATTTCCATAATCAATGAGACAAATAAAACATTTACAAAAACTTAACATATTTGATGGATGTATGAATTCTTGTTTAGATTGTTAGTGCAATACATTTACAAGTCTTGGAACCATCTCATAGACTTAGTTACAAAGCGAATAATAAACAGAAACATTCAATAACAATAAAAGCACTACAGAATAATATAGCGTCTATCGATCACTTCGTAGATTCCTAATATTCTATTTTGTTCCTATGGATGTTGATGGCGATTTAACCATGTGGCGTAAAATATGTGCCTCAGACCTACTCCAGTCATACAATTAGAAATTAATGACAATGACAATTAAAAGTAATAGTAGACACTTAAAAGTAATAGTATTAATGACAATTAAAGCTAATACTGTTAATGACAATTAAAACAAATAGTATTTAGAGCAGGTGTATGACAAAAACTGTGAAATAATGACAGAATTACACAATATGCTTTACCACATCTAAACGAACGATCTTTTAGGCTGAGGTTTAAGGCCAGCATCATGAACCCATTGATGCAGGTTGACATTTTTTCTCCTCGATGCATAGATCAGATCAGTCGAAGTTAGCAGACCCGGTGGTGCTCTATTATCACTTCAGCAGTGATGTGTATGGCTATATCAGAAAACAAATGAGTTTAAGTAAATTCAATACTTAGACTTGTTTACTGATATTAATAGTGTCTTCATTTTCAGCAGAAATAACAATTTTCAAAGATGGTCACCTGGAAGTCTTGTAGTACCCTATCCAGCCTTGACTTCAGTTGAGGAAAGCTCGGCCTGTCTTCGGGTAAGGTATTCCAGCAGGCGGTCATTATTGTGTAGCTAGATATGGACCATAAACAAACAATATCATGATGATATTTTATATACACAAGTGCAAAACATTTAATATAAGCTAATTTCAAATGAAATATTAAGCAAACTACATTAGATTAGGACAGAAGAAGGACATCAAACTGTTCATTATTTACATCTCCTCCGGACATGGCGTGGGCTTCTCCAGTCTACCGCCATCTTTGATCATGTCCATCATTCTCTTGCCGTTCATCCCTTCGTAGGGTTGTTTGCCTGGAGAAATAAGGTGAAATCGAGGAATGACTTATGATTATGCTGATAGATATTCAGTCAATATTATCAACTATCATCAACTGGTTATTGTCAAATATAATATTCTCCAGAATAGCAGAGTAGCGAGACACCCATCGTCCATCCAGTACGTCTACTCTGCACAACTAACGTCTCCATATCAAAAACATAAACATATTTCTAGATTTTGCGAAATAATCAGGCTTACCAAGAGTGATGATCTCCCACAAAAAGGACTCCAAAGGACCACCTATAAAACACAAAACATGCATCCAGCTAGGTGCTTTCCCAATAAACTAGAACATGATTTGTTTTACCTGAATATGAGGTACTTAAAGGTAGCAAAAATATAGATAAATTGAATAAGTGTAACACGTTCACAACCTTTTCATTATCCCTGACGCAACCCTGACGCATGGAGGTTTCTTTTAAACCAACTTAATAACGACCGCAAGGAATTATAATAGGTGGAAAGGGCATTTTGTTTAATGGAATTATTAACTCTTGCAACTCAACACACGTTTTCGTTTGATAGTGTTACACATGGCAGTTTAATGGTACATACATCAAAACATGAATGATACTCACACGTCACTCTGAGATGTGTACACGTTGTAGAACAGGGACTCATATGCCATCCATCGGAGAGGTAACTTGCTCTGAAATTAAATGTCCTTTCATTTTTTTGTTTGTTTGTTTGTTTATTCGATCTCCATTAGATTTACATGAAATCTATTCTTCCTGGAGTCGCAAAATTACAATGAAACAAATGTACAGAACAGAACAAAACAAATGTACATGAAAGTAAAACCAACATAACAAAAGGTGTGAGTCTTAATAAAAAAAATAACATAACGCACACAACATTAACTGAAAACTGAACTTAAGTGAACGGGGAGAGGTCAGAGGTCATGGATGATTAATGTAACAAAAACTGTTACAAAAAGAGGTTGCAAAACTGCAAACCATAAACAGTAGTAAATCAACAAATGGGTGCAGAACTGCAAATCATAATAACGATAAGTAAATAACAAAGTGGATGCAGAACTGCAAATCATAATAACAATAAGTAAATAACAAAGTGGGTGCAGAACTGCAAATCATAATAACAATAAGTAAATAACAAAGTGGATGCAGAACAGCTATCAC